CCTCAGCCATGGCTCAATATGTAAGAATCATTATTGCCTCCATTAGAATAGGTTTTTAACTTAGTGTTAATAAAATTATATTGTATCTTGGAACAGTCTTCTGCTCACTTGTAGACAAACCCAAGTGTCTTTTCTGTATAAATTATGTCCTTGGATGAAAGTCCTAAGGTCGTGTTGCAGTAAGTTTATAAAATAAAAATAACATCCATACCCAAGCTTGTTACATATTGTTCTAGTGTTATGTAATTAGTTATTTAAAGGTTTTGAATCATTTTAAACATTCTTCAGTTAAAACACACTTGAGCAGCATACTGTACTGTTTTTATTTAATTTGTGGATTGATTCAGTTGTATTGAAAATAAAACAAGTGTAATTTACAATATCTAGTAAAAAACAAAAACAAAAATGAACTATTTAACATTTTATAACTGTACACAAATAAATTGATAGTGGATTATAAATATTTTCCCAAAATTATGCTATTTTAAATAAATTGGCACATTTATGTATTTTTCATGAGTAACAACTATTTACGGTATTTACAGTGATTTACAGCTTGAGACTGAATATTAAAAATACGAAGGAACAAAAGTGTGATTTGTACATTTTATGATTCTTACTGCACTGATATAAACACATGGATGAAGGTGTTGAAGTAAAACATGTCAGCAGACTCCTCGACACTTCTTCTGCAACATGGAAACAGCAGTAAGCCTTGGTTGTAGAAGCTGCACCCCTGCAGAACATCTGGACTGCTCCCTGGTTCTGACCTCCTAGAAGACATTTCCAGTGACACTTGCAGAGACTGAAGATGTGAAGTGTGGACACAAAACACATGTTGGGAAGACTGCAGCATCAGAGGAAGAGCAGGGAAGTGTGGAGCCATGTGGTCCAGAATGATGCTATGCAGGACTTCTCAGGTGGGCACTGGTAAAACATCTGTGAGCCCTGTGGCACAGGACCAAACCTGGATGGTACCAGCTCCAAAGTTTAGAGACTAAGACAAGAGCGATAAGTGGTTGGGACTTCAGTTTTTCTCCTGCTGTCACCCAGTGAGATCTAAAATAGATAACTGTTTTTAGCACGTACATATAATACTTGTTATAACATATTTAGCTTTAAACAAGTAATAGATTCTAGTTAGAAGATGAGCTGAAACATCAGCCGAACAAAACAGACTATGCTGCTACAACAACAGAAGACAAACTAACCACTGAACAGGAAGATGTTACTGTAAGCTCTCTGTAGTACGGAAGTTGTCCATCGTACGTCAAAGTTCTTCAGCTGTCATAAATAAAGCATCTAGCTCTGACAACTACCTGTCCCTCGACAATATTTGACCTGTAGTTATGCAGAAGTAAAGTACAATTTGAACATCAAGCATCATAGCATCTCCTAACTAACATCTAGCACGTTTTCTTTCACAAATTGTAATGGCAAACACATATCAGAATGTTAAAATATCATTTAAAAGTTTATACCACTTCTGTCTCAAATATTCCAAATAATTTAGCACACTAAATTAGGCTTTATTACGATGTTTATGTACTTCATATGTTGTAGCTAACGGTTAGCTCGCGAAGCTACGTCTTTTCTTACCTTGATAGCTGTGGATATATTCTACATGGAAGATCTTTTATCCTTTCTCAGGTTTATTGGTTCAAGAATTCACCGCTGCGATTTCCTCCACATCAGCGTAAGAAAAGGCTGACATTTGCATAGACTCGCAATAACAAGAAGTGACCCAGCACCAGGAGACGCTACTTCGGGTTGTCGTGAAAAAGGTCTATTGGACCCCGTGTTACACCATATTCTGTGACCTGCAACAGTGCATGCAACACTGCCCCCTACAGTCACAATATATGGTGGTCACAGAATATGGTGTAACACCAGTTCGCAACAAGCTCAAAACAGTCAGGAAGTTGTTTCATTTTCTGTTTCCTTACGGTAGTTGAACAAGAAGATTCATCTTTAGTGAAATATTTCCAGACTATTGATGCATTTCTACCTGTTTGCCAAGACTGGGACTGCTCCGCTCCATCCGTCTGCTTGGAGAAATCCATTTTGTAACCAGCGCCCGGTGTGGATCACGTGACACGTGACGCAATGATGTAACAGCGACGTAATGACGTCACCACGAATACTTGACGTGAAATAAAAAAATTTGATAAATGTCCTAGGAATCGATGTGTAGATTACTCGAGTAGTCTGTTAAAGCCCTAATATATATATATATATATAACCGAGTGTATATATATATATATATATATATATATATATATATATATATATATACACACACACTATATATATGACTGTGGCTGAATTGTTAGAGCAGTCGTCCTCCAATGCAAGAGTTGGGGGTTCAATTCCACCAACAGTTACATGTTTTGTTGAAATCAGGTCTCTCTTGTAAATGAGTCCTCGAGGCTCAATGGGATTTACCTGTTGAAATAAAGGGTGAATGAAAAAAACAGTCACATGTTGAAGTGTCCCTGGGCAAGACACTGAACCCCTCATAGCCTCTGATGTGTGTCCCATCAGTCTATGAATGTGATCTAAATCTCTGTTTAGTCTTTGTATAGATCTAGTAGAGAGCTGTATGAATGGGTAAATGAGGCACAGATTATGTTGCAAGTGCTTTGAGTATCTCAATAAGATAGAAAGTTGTTATATAAGTACAGTCCATTTACATTTAGTCAGAGTCAAAGGTTCTTTATTGTCATTCACATCTCATGTGGTACATGTGGTGGAATGAAAATATGTGCACAAGGTCCCAGTTACATCCAACGATAAAATGTAAAAGAAAAACAATAATAACATCTAAGATATGAACTAAGAAAAACATCAACTAAAAATACACTAAGCACTAAAAAAAAAAAAACATTATGTCGAACAGCAGCACGAACATGAGTCTGTGTGAGCAGATGAGCACGAATGAACACATCAACATGAAACAGATCAGCAGCAACATGAAACAGATCAGCAGCAACATGATGTGATTTTTCACAGTGATTATTCTGGTTAGAGATTCATGAGTCTAACAGCCTCAGGGTAGAAGCTGTTCCTCAGTCTAGTGGTTCTAGACTTAATGCTCCTCAACCTCCTTCCTGAGGGGAGCGGGGCAAAAAGTGAGTGTGCTGGGTAAGGCTTTAACAGAATACTCGAGTAATCTACTCATCGATTCCTAGGACATCTATTGAGTTTTTAAATTTCACGTTGAGTATTCGTGGTGACGTCATTACGTCACTGTTATGTCATTGCTTCACGTGTCATGTGATCCACACTGGGCGCCGGCTACAAAATGGATTCCTCCAAGCAGACGGATGGAGCGGAGCAGGCCCATTCTTGGCAAACAGGTGGAAATACATCAGTAGTATGGAAATATTTCACTAAAGTTTAATCTTCCGGTTCAACTACGGTAAGGAAACAGAAAATGAATCAACTTCCTGATTGTTTGGAGCTCGTTGCGAACCGGTGTTACACAATATTCTGTGACCACCGTATATTATGACTGTGGGGGCGGTGTTGCATGCACTGTTGCAGGTCTCAGAATATGGTGTAACACCGGGTCCAATTGACCGAACCAGAACCAGCTTCCTCTGACCTTGTTTCACAAACAAAAATCAAAAAATATTAATCTCTAAACCTATTAAAAAAATCTATAAACATATTAATCTCTAAAACTAAACGTAATGCGCACCCCAGCTGGCGGTGGTGCGGGGTGGTCGACCGCCCCACTGTTTTTAGTTTCGTTTTTTACGTGCCGCACGTTTCTTTCACTTTTGCAGCTTAATAATAATAATAATAACTAATAGTTTTGGTTTTCCTGTGACTTATTTGCAATATGATAAATGGTAGGAGCATAATATACACTCCCAATGTTTTGGTGGTCTTTTTTGTAAACAATGACGTTTTTTGCGGTTTTATTTATTTATTAATTTTTGCATCTTGAGATCCTATGATGTCATCAACTACTCAAGTTCTACTCAAGTTTTATTATGTTAATGTCGAGTTTAAAAATTATGTAGTCGTTCAACCCCTAGTGTTGGGTGAGTGTGGTCCTTCATGATGCAGGTGGCTCTCCCTGCATCTGGAGGTGTAGATGTCTGTGATGGTGGGGAGGCTGACTCCAACATCTTCTGTGCAGCCTTCACCACTCTCTGCAAAGCTTTTCTTTCTGCAGCTGTGCAGATGCCACACATTGATGCTGGAGCACAGGATGCTCTCCACTGCACACCTGTAGAAGGAGGTGAGGACTGAGCTTCCCAGATCAGCTCGTCTCAGCCGTCTGAGGAAGTAGAGTCTCTGATGAGCTTTCTTGATCAGGCTGGTGGTGTTGTTGCTCCAGCTGAGGTTGTTGTTCATGTGTACACCCAAGTACTTGTAGCTGGAGACCACTTCCACTGCAGATCCTCTTATGTTCAGGGGGGTGTAGATGTTTTTGTTCCTTCTCAAGTCCACAATCATCTTCGTCTTCTTCACATTGATGTGAAGGTTATTCTCTCTGCACCAGCTCTCCAGGTGTTCCACCTCTTGCCTGTAGCTGGACTCATCATTGTTTGTGATGCATCCCACCACCATAATTTAGCTGCTTTTCCATTCTGCTGTTTATAACTCATTAGCTTCCAAACTCTGTTCCAATTTCCCGACTGATAGAATGGGGACAATAATTTCTGGTTTAATGAAAGAATGAGCCAGACTTGTTGAACTTTCAGGATTCTGCTGATGTGCCTTCAGCTTTCATACTGAGGAACATGTTTTGCAGAGTCAGTAGGACTGGTTTATTAACTGTTTGCATCCATCCTGTAATAATATACATCCAATAGTTTTCCTTCTTGTAATGTGTAACTCTGTATTGAATGAGACAGAGAGAGGCAGTAATGAAGCCCACCAGCTAACACGGTCAGTTTATAAATGAAAGGAGCTGCAGGTCCCTGAGTTTTCACATCAGATGGTTTACTTTGTATTTTTCTTTCTTGTTTCCAGGAAGCGTCTCCATGGATGAAGCTCAGCGACTCAGCCCTGAGCTGCTGGCCTCCCTGCAGTCCCTGAGAGACGACGACGACTACACCCTGCTGCCTCAGTCCCTGCATCAGGTGTGTGTGTGTTGGGGGGGTGGGCCTTTGCACGTGTGTGCATTTGTGTGTGCGCTTGGTCGAACATTTGAGAAAAACAGGGAAGAACATATTCCTTTAACTCCACAGTGAATTCACAATGTGTCTTTATTTAGCCTGACAGATTTGTTTGTGTGTGTGTGTGTGTGTCTGAGCTTACATCTGTTGACAATGCCTAAAGCAACATTTATTATTAGTTCTCCAAACTGAGGTTGTTCCAAAAGCTATCTAAAGCAGGTAAGATATTGTTTGCTCATAACATTTGCACAGGACACCACTTCAAACGAGCTGAGCTTTAACAACAAAACGTGTGTTCTGTGTTAACAAAGACAAAATGAACAAAAGCCCGTTCAAATCATTTAAAGAATCTACTCCATTTTGAAATAAACCCAAAAGTCCAGTTCTGGAGGTTCTTCACATGAGGAGTGTTAGAATCAGAGGTGGGTACAAAAGAGCTGCAAGGACATCCACATGCTGTTTGCCCCCCCCGCCCCCCCGGACACACACACACACACACACACACACACACACACACCCCTCAGCTCACAAATGATGCATTCAAACTGAGATGCAAGAACTAAATGCACTAGGCTTTTTACTTCTTGTTCAGAAGAGCCCGAGCCTTTGATTTGATGATAAAACAGTTTTACTTGTCACAGCTGGAGGAGTTTGTAGTTTATTTTATATTGCTGCCAAATGCTGTAATTGTGAAACAGTTCTGTTTCATTTACTGAAAAAAGAAAGGCGAGGCAATCCAGAGCAGTTTGATGTGATGATGATGAGTGATAATCAGAGACACAAAACAAACCTGAGCTCACATGTGGGTCTTTGTAGCCATCTTTCATGTCACAGTGTCATGTCTGACTCTACATACACGGTTTCTTTAGTCTCAGAGTAAAAGCATCCTAAAGAACAAGAAGGGGCCATTTCAAAAATATAAATACAAATAATTTCAGGTCAGTTTGTTGGTTTGCATATGAGCAGTTTATGGAACAAATCAACTGTAAATAAGGAAATGCAAAGATAAACAGATACCTGAATATATGTGTATTTAATATTTATTAATTATTTATTTATTAATCTTTCTTTAATCTCACTGAGATCACTGATCTCTTCTACAAAGGAGGCCCGAAGGACATTTCCTTTTTTTTTTGTTTATACTGTGAGAGGAAACTGGATAAAACACGCAAACTCCACCCAGAAAGTCTCCAAATCCAGTCTGGGTATTAATCCCAGGTAGAGCTGTCATTTCTAATCCAAACCTGGACCCTGGTCCAGCCCGACCTGGATTAGGGCTGGACCATAATAATGTGCTTAATGTAAATGGTAAATGGTAAATGGTAAATGGACTGTACTTATATAGTGTTTTCTATCTTATTTCAAGATACTCAAAGCTCTTTACAACACAATCTGTGTCCTCGTTTACCCATTCATACAGCTCTATACTAGATCTTTACAAATCTAACTGAACAAATCATTCTAAAGAGACTAATCAGAGCTTTATCACATTCATACACTGATGGGACACACATTGGAGGCATCAAGAGGATCAGTGTCTTGCCCTGAGACACTTCAACATGTGACTGCTGGTGGATTCAAACCCCCAACTCTTGCATTGGAGGACGGCTGCTCTAACCACTCAGCCACAGACCTCCATGTAACTAATGCTCTGAGAATATTCAAGAAGTTCAGGACACAAACGTGTTGTTAGTGTAGTCTACTGGACTTCTAAAGGTCCAGAGACATGAGACATGTTAATCCAGTATCTAAGCAGGTTCATGTGACTCCTCGGTGGTTCGCTCCGCGCCGGTTCTTGGCGGGATGAAGCCGTGTGATCCAGAATGGGAAATTCAAACAAAACCCTTTTCTTGAAAAGCCTGATTCAGATCAGAAGAATCATTTAAAGCTTTCATTTAAAACCAAACAGCTCAGACGATTCGAGGTGGGCTTCTGTGTCACGAACCTTTACTATCTTACCTGTTGCAGATAACTCTTTGAACGATCCATTTGCAGGACTGATCAACCAGCAGCGAGTCTGAAAACAGTTTTAATGTCTAAAGGTTTCATAAGCTTTGTGCACATGCTGTTTTATAAACCTTTACACCTCGCAGAGATAAAGTTAAAGAGAAAAACCGTTACTGAGAGGAATGCATGATTTTATGATTTGATACATTTCAGAATACCGTATTGTTCGGCGTATAAGTCACATCTTTTTGCATAAATTTGCACGTCCTGCGACTTGTACACCAAAGCGACTAATATACTTTTTTCATATTCATAACCCATTTTTTGACTGACATCTGACACTTTCATTCATTCCCCCCTCCCTGAGGAATTTCCAACTGATAACCTGATGGAACCAGCTGAATAAACTTGTGTCATCATTTCAGGACTCTTGGATTCTCATAGACGTTATTCTTAGCCATTCCTCGACATAGCTCGAGAATGTTTATGGATCTCACCGAAGGACACTGGCTGATTATTACATCTTTATCAGAACTCTTACAGTGCCCTCGAGAGCATCTATGAACATGCTGACCGCTCTCGCCTCCCCCCTCTGCAGAATGTCTACGTCACTATGTGCTTGTTTATGGGAGGGGTTTTTTAATTTCAGAGGTTTTTTTTTCAGGCAGGAAAACAAATGTCTGATAACAAACTGCAGGTGATAAACATGCAGCCCAAACCGGTAATCAAGCAGCAAAAAGAAAGTTTGTGGACGGGTGGTGTCCGTGCAGTCTGCCCGGGGGATTCAACCCAGCGGAAGGGACGGCTGCATGGCGGTGGAAGATCCCCACTCACAGGGAACCTTCCCCTCATGTCTGGCTGGCTCCTGCCATGCACATTTCCTCCGTGGTGGTACACCACCCATCCATCCATCCACCCATCAATGTATCCATCCATTGTGGCTCTGGCTGTGAGCTCGACAGTCCTCCTCCGCCGCCGGAGAGGAGAGGAAGATTCCGCGGCAGTGCGCCCCCCATCCATCCATCGCAGATCACTCTCCTTACTGCCGTCTTCCTCCCTGCTCCGGCGGCGGAGGAAGACGGCAGCGAGGTGCGTGATCTGCGGCCCCGGGAAGCAGCGAGGTATGGGCGGGGGGGGGGGGGCCGCGGGGGGGGGGGGGGGGGGGGGGTGGGGGGGGGGGGATGCTGTAGAGCTGTAAGCCTTTGTCCCAGCTCGGGCAGCGGAGCGGGGGCAGCGTCATTTGGCTGCACCGCCCAAGTGAAATGAAGATGTTTTGACTGTTGAAGTGCATTTATTAAGCAAAAGTTAGACTAAGACACAATTTTACTAAAATTTCGAGCAAAAAAATTGTTTTAAAGTGTTAATCTTGTTAAATTCTTGTTAAAGTCCTCCAGTGCACGCTTCCGTGGCCGCCATTTGGCAGCCAATTGATTTTTGGCACAACACAGACCCATGTTTCTGGGGGGTCAGCGGTGACGCATAATAAATGCGATATATGGCGAAGTGACTTATTTATGTTTTTTTCACTTTATTAGACATTTGTGGACTGATGCGACTTATGAATTATTTTACAACACGTGAAGTATTAAGTGTTAGTTAAAGCTGCACCAGCTCAGAACCAGAACGCTGTAACTCCTGTTTGAACATCTGTTCCAGATGGCAGAGGCCTTCTCTCTGAAAGACGACTGTATCCTTTCATCGCCTTGAGGACGTGCTTTGTTTCATGACACGTGGAGATAGAATGTGGTGTAAACTCTGAGGAATGAAATGTTTGTGTTTCATCTGGTTTACTGTCAGTCCTGGGTCAGAGCAGATGTGAGGATGATGTCCTCACACTGTCAGAGCTCTGCTGCTTTGAAGACCAAGTCAAGAGAGGTGGCAGAAGACTCCATCCATTCCCATAGCTCACCTGTCCTTTGAGGAGGAGCTGGTGTCGATTTCCAGCAGTCACTTAGATGCAGGAGACACCTAGGACACGTCCATCACGGGGACATAGGGACAAACGAGACAAACACCCACACATTGTTACAAATAGACCTAACATGGATGTCTTTGGTCTGTAAGGAAACTGTGGTTCCTGGAGAAACCCCTGCATGCACAGGGAGAACATGCAGAGAGGCTGGGAGCGATCCTGTGACCTTCTTGTTGTGAGGCAGCAGCTCTAACCACTGGTCCACACTGCCGCTCTCGTACAGTCTCATCTCTCCTGCTATTATTGTTGGCTCATGTCCTCCACGGACTCTGGGTGTTTCCCTTTACTCTGGCCTGAATCCCGATGGGCCTGCGGTTGTAGTTTCCTCTGACGCTGTTTGTGCTGTTGCCCCGGCAACAGCTGGCTCTGTTTTGCTGCAGAGGGTTCTTGTGTGTGGAAGAAATCTTAATGCAAAGGAAGAAATGATCAATGAGTCAGAAAGAAAAACACATTTAGCTACATGAATCACTGCAGAGGTCTGAGGAAGGTCCTGGGGAGGGACAGATGGGCCGATAAAACATTAACCTTACATAAGCAGCAGAACCTCACCAGAACTTTTGTTGATCTCAGTGCAGGTTGTGGTGCTTGTCTCCACAGTGAACTAAGTCGCATGAAGACTTGGTAATTATTTTTACTCCAGATGTCCTGACACAACCACAGACCACTGAGCTACCACAGCCCTCTGTGTGGAGCAAAGCTGTGATCTAAGATGACCAGGGGAGCAGATGGTGGGGGTTAAGGGCCTTGTTCAAGGCCCCAGAGTGGGGCAAATGAGGGTGGAGGCAGGTGTGGATGCTTCACCTTTCCCACCCACATCTTGATGTTGTCAGTCTGGGGAGTTGAACCGGCGACCTTCCGATCACAGGCCCATCTTCTCTAACCTCGCCCCAGTCACACAGCTTAGATCTGAGGTTTTAATTGTTTTAGTGGCATTTATTTTTACTCTACATGTATAAAAACTTTGTTCCTTAACATACATGGACTGTTAGCTGAGAAGCTGCTTTTTGATTTTGTTCAAATTCCATTTAAAATCAAAACATTCTTTATTTAGTTATTCTCAAAGTCTTACTTTAATTTAACCATAACTTGGATAAAGAAATGCTCTACTAAACACTTAAATCAAAAGCAGAACTTTAATATAAACTAGACAAACATGATGTTGTTGTAGACATGAAATAAAAGTCCACGAGTTGGCAGGTCATGTGACTGTAGTGCAGAGTAATGAAGTTCTCAGTCCAGTTCACTGCTGGTTTCATGTCAGCAGGGCCTGGTACACCTCAGACCTGAGAACAAGTGGATATTCAGGGCAGACGATTGTTAATGCTCTCCTGCTGCATGTCGGTCCACAGTTGTAGCTGGACTTCAAGATCCAGGAGACTGGCACTGAGTCCGAGCTGACTGTTAGGAAGGTTCAACTTCTGGTCTGCTGACCTCAACATGAAGCAGCCAGTCATGTCTCAGGAGGGGTAAGACATGCAGAGACAAGATGTCTCTGATGTAGCACTGAGTCCTCAGGGTCCCCTGAATCACTAGCAGAGGTGACCTGGCATCAGCGTTGCATTTGTGCAATAATTATATTTGTACAATAATTATCATATTTGTACAATAATTATATTTGTACAATAATTATATTTGTACAATAATTATATTTGTACAATAATTATATTTGTACAATAATTATATTTGTACAATAATCATATTATATCTAGTCAGTACCTCTCAACCTCACACAGGCTCCTTCCCCACCAGAGAGGTCACGTTCCTTGTCCCAAGAGCCAACTTTGTCAAGCCTGGGGGTCAGAGCGCCAAGGCCCCCACCCTAAGCCACTGTCCATGGATTCATGCACCTGACTCATATGGCCCCTCCTGCAGGTGGTGGGTCCACAGGAAAGCAAACACATGTTGCTTGTTCGGGTTGAGCCCGGCCGGGCCCCATGGGTAGAGACCAGGTCACCAGGCGCTTGCCGACGAGCCCCTCCCCCAGGCCTGGCTCCAGGATGGGGCCCCAATAACCCACGTCCAGACAAGGGACACTGAGTTCCTTGTTGCTGTTTGTCCATATAAGTCTTCTGAACGCTCTTTGTCTGTCCTGTCACCTAGAACCAGTCTGCCTTGGTCGACCCCACCAGGGGCAGACAGCATAGCTCCTAGGATCATTCAGGTGCACAAAATCCTCGACCATGATAAGGTGGAGATTCAAGGGGGAGATGATGTATCGTATAATGAACATTCCTTGCTGTGGTCAGTTCTGGATAAGTGGAACCTTCCTGGTTCCCTCATGTTCTGACTGGTCTTAAAATGAAACTGTCCACTTTACATGGTGGACACTTTCACAGTACAACCACTCAGCTTCAAGCAAGTGCTGTGATGCTGTCTAACCCATCTACAAGGCATCCTCTTTGTCTGCTGACCTTCAATCACTGTTTTTTGATTGATGCACTGGCAACTGCCTGATAACACTCTTGGTCCACTCATGATGTCACTTCCTTTAAAAATTCATTAAATCCCATAGTCATCTGGAAAAATCTGTTTTTGTTCTTGCAGTTTGACATTATTATAACCAAATTTATAAAATGCTGTCAATGTAATTGACAAGAAGCAGATTGAAGTCAGAGCAGTAACTGACTTCTGGATTATGAGTCAGCAAATAAACTTTTTCTTTGGACATCAAGGATTTTCTGTTAATATTTTGTTGCACCGTTATGAGTCAGTGGACATCTACATGTCTTCTAAATGATTCTAAAAGTGTGAGTCCTCTGTAGTGTCCTGACTGTACTTATGGGCACTTTGATAATCTTGTTTGTTGTCTAACTGTGCACGCTCTGGTGGAGCGGTGGCACTGTTAGTAGAGCTGTTGTCTCTATGATCAGAGGTCACCAGTTCACCTCCTGGCCGCTCATGTTATCCTCGTGCACGCGTGTGAATGGATGGATGTAAAAGCTCAGCTCGAGCTGTTTGCGAGTGCCTCTGTATGTGCCACTGTGTGGACGGTCTCTTTAACTGGAGATGCTCTCAGACCAGTGGGCCATCCGATTCCTGCAGCTGGAGAAGCTCTACCACGAACGTCTGCTCTTCAATCTTTCTGCCCTGCAGGAGAACTGGGGTACTGCATGCCTCCACTGCTTCCTACATTTGAGCTTTTCACTAAAAGTGCAGTACAATTTTGTGCCAAACTGGCATCAAGGGAAAGAAAATGGATTAATTTTATTTACATCTGTGTCCAGAGAGCCAGTTAGCAGAGAAGAAGGATGCTGAGAGCAGTTTGTCTGCAGAGACAGATGGGATCAGTCAGAAACACATTGAGACGCTGAGCCATATCTGCAGAACACATCACAGGTAAAACACACCCTGAAACCTGAAGCCTTTATTTAGATAATCACAGATGTTCTTAAGATCACATCTCACCCATCACCTTCATCCCCATCAGACGACCTTTTACAATCAATTCTTTAACGTAATCAGCTGCTGTCTCTGCCTCAGCAAGGACTCACACACAAGACTTTAAGGATAGACTGAAGATGGAGAGTCGTATAAATGTGACTGCAGTGGTGCTTGAAAGTTTGTGAACTCTATAATTTTCTATTATTTCTGCATAAATATGACATAAAACATCAGATTTTCACACAAGTCCTAAAAGTAGATAAAGAGAACCCAGTTAAATGAGACAAAAATATTATACTTGGTCATATATTTATTGAGGACAATGATGTAATATTACATATTTGTGATGGTAAAAGTATGTGAACCTCTAGGATTATCAGTTAATTTGAAGGTGAAATTAGAGTCAGGTGTTTTCAATCAGTGGATGATGATCAGGTGTGAGTGGACTGGTTAGATTTAAAGAACAGGTATTTATCAAAGTCTGATCTTCACAACATGTTTGTGGAAGTGAATCATGACGTGAACAAAGGAGATTTCTGAGGAGCTCAGAAAAAGAGTTGTTGATGCTCATCAGGCTGGAGAAGGTTACAAATCCATCTCTGAAGAGTTTGGACTCCACCGATCCACAGTCAGACAGATTGTGTACAAATGAGGAAATGCAAGACCATTGTTATCCTCCCCAGGAGTGGTGGACCAACAAAGATCACTCCAAGAGCAAGGTGTGGAATAGTGGGCGAGGTCACAAAGGACCTCAGGGTAACTTCTCTTTCACATTGGCTAATGTTGATGTTCATGAGTCGACAATCAGGAGGACACTGAACAACAATGGTGTCATGACAGGGTTGAAGGAGCAGACACTGCTCTCCAAAAAGAACATGGCTGCTCGTCTGCAGTTTGCTAAATACCACGTGGACAAGCCAGAAGACTGTTTGAAGAATGCTTTGTGGACGATGCTACCAAAATAAAACTTTTTGGTTTAAATTAAAAGAGTTATGTTTGGGGAAAGGAAAACAGCATTCCTGCATAAGAACCTTATCCCATCTGTGAAACATGGTGGTGGTAGTATCATGGTTTGGGTCTGTTTTGCTGCATCTGGACCAGGACGGCTTGTTGGAACAATTCATTGATGGAACAACGAATTCTGAATTATATCAGAGATATCTAAAAGAAAATATCAGAACATCTGTCCATGAACTGAACCTCAAGAGAAGGTGGGTCCTGCAGCAACACAATGACTCTAATCATACAAGTCGTTCTACCAAAGAATGGTTCAAGAAGAATAAAGTTAACCTTAATCCAATCCAGATGTTGTGGAAGGACCTGAAGCAGCAGGTAATGTGAGGAAACCACCAACATCCAGAGTTGAAGCTGTTCTGTACAGAGGAATGAGCTAAAATCCCTCCAAGCAGGTGGGTAGGACTGATCAGCCGTTATCAGAACTTTTACCACTCACAGATCTGTAATATTCTATACTTTTCCTCAATAAATAAATGACCAAGTTCAATATTTTTGTCTCATTTGTTTAACTGTGTTCTCTTTATCTACCTTTAGGACTTGTGTGAAAATCTGATGATGCTTTAGGTCATTTATGCAGAAATATAGAAAATTATAAAGAGTTCACAAACTTTCAAGCACCACTGAGTTGTCCTGCTGCTACACATATTTGATGCAGGCAGATTTGATTTAGACAAAAAAGATGTGCTCTTCTGTTGCAAAGTCTTCACAAACGTTCCTCTTTCTCTGTTTCTGTTGCGTGACTCAGACCGTCTGCCAGCGTGGACCAGGTAAGATCTGCAAACCTACCTGTTCCTTGTTGGTTTCAAACTTTTTCCACAAGATACATTTGCTGACTGCATTTCTTTCGACAGGAAAAACCAGCTACAGCTCTGAAAGACAGTCAAACCAAGACTGAGATTCTGCAAGCGTGTCATGATGAAGGTAAAAATGCAAAAATGACAGAGTCACAGCAGTACTGCTGGAGCCTTCTCAGTATTTACATCAAGTCAGGGAACCAGCGAGGAGCAGCGCCTCCTGACAACGTTTGATGTTTCAGTTGGAGAATACTGTAAAGAGAACCTAGATCAAAAGGAACGTTAAAGTTGCTCATTAGAGTTACCATGGTAACCACTCAGTCGTGTTTCTCACTCCCTGGCAGCAGTTCTTATACACTGTCACAGTTCACAGGTGTTGGACCCAGGAATGAGGGGCTCAAACCAAAAACCTTCAGATTTATTAATAAAAAACATTCTGAGGTGGCAGCAACAAGACAAAACAACAAAACATGAGAAGCACAGAGGAGACTGACACGGTGTGAGACAACACAATGCCAGACTGCAGGTGTGTTGAAGACCAGGAGAACACAAAGACCAGTTGATGAGAAGAGTGGAGACACCTGTGCTCACCAGGTTTCAAATCACTGAGAGAGACAGGGAGCGGAGGAAACACAGGAGACAACCGAACAAAGTGAACATAAGAAAACAAACTGATCAAAGGAAATAAACATGAAAACAAACCGAAACAACAGAAACAGGCAAACCACAATGCAGAGTAGAAAGCAGTATATACACGCACACACACATA